ATTTTGGGCACTTTTATAAAAAAAAGCAGAAAACTAACAATTTAAATTTATTTGAGACGCATATTAACAGAGAAATTTGAAATTTTAGCAATACAACCTGTTGTATTTTCTTAATTATTATTTCAATTTTATTTGAATTTCTTATATCTACTGTCTGCTGATACAAATGATATCACCGTTAACTCATATTTAAAACATAATGCACAATTAATTATCTTTCAATTATAATATTGATTTATGGCATTGAAGAGAAGAAATAAAAAAATTTAAGAATCACAACAAAGAATATAAAAATAACTATTTTGATCCAAATATCATTATTTTTAAATAAAAAAAATGTAAATTGCTTCAACAAAAGAATTTGAATTATATTAAAAAATTAAAATAAAAAGATATAAGAAATTTAAATAAATAAAAATTGAATATTTGTGAGAATATTAGATTTAATATTTTTACACTAAAACCTGTACTACGTAAATAAGGACCAACATGTGGGGTTGAGATAGCTTTTATGCGTTTTCTAATACTCGCGCTGGCCGGGTCGGTCGTTCCGCTGGTGTGTGTTTTTGCAGGTGTAATTTGATCTCAATGCGGCCACCACTTTATGGGTTTATTATTTTGCGCGGCCTGCTCTTTTACTGGCCGGCGTGCGATTTTATTGTTATTGAAAATCGGCGTGTGTATGTGTGTGTCCAGCAGCAATTATTATTTGCCGCCGTGGGCTGCGCGCACCGCATGTGAAATTGATCGCTCGGTAATGTTTTGCGCGCACTTAATGTAAGTAGGGTACGTACACGCAAAAGCAAGCGAGCAAAAGAGGCGTTGTTGCTCGACCCTAGCGCTCTGTGCTGGGGCATATTAGATAATTTCAATGTTCCCCCGTTTCAGTTTTGTGGTCAAACCACTATGCAAATTCTAAGAAAAAGATACAACCGGTTTTCCACATCAAATATATGTTTCAGCGGAGAGCTCGGAAGAGTCTCCACTGCTGCTGCTGCCTCTCCTAGTTTACAACTAGTTTTTGCATTTTCTGCCAGCCTATTGTTTTCAAATACTATTTTAGTCGAAATATGCGCGGCCCATTATCTGAACAGGATGATTCAAGGGCAGAATAATATTTCGTTCAATTCAAAAGCAAGCCGCAAAATTCGCTGCTTTTTGTCGAGAGCAGCATTTCGCCGGCGCGCACAAAAGGCTAATCACGAAATCCCTCGCGGTGCAGAAAATATTAAAAATGTTGTCCTGCCGGACGGCAATCTGTCTTTTCGCTGGCCGGTATAGGCAGGAGGGTGGCGTGTGAGAATTTTTCGTTTGTCTGCGTGCGAGAGCGGAAAGGAAATCGATTGACCCGCCGTGCACTTAATGGGGTGGGCAAGTGCTGCAGTACATTTCTTGTTATGACAATCGCAAGTCCGGCCCAACGTCTGCGAAGCAATAAATTATTTTAACACAACCACCGCCAACCCACACACACCGCGACTATAATAAAAATGGCCCACCGTCCAATTAGTTGGTGGAAACAACTTTTGCCCTACAACTGTTCTAAGCTACGATATCAACTGGGATAAGATTTATTGTGATTTTTCATATCTTATCTGTATAATTGTTTAATTTCAAAACTGGTTCAAATTAAATTTATTTTCTCGTGTCTATTATTATTTGACCTAATTAATTGTTGCGAAATTTAAGTATAAATTGAAAAATAATCTGTTGTTTGAGAGAATTTTTTTTAATTGTTAGGAAAAAACGGTATCACCACTAGCGAGACATCTTTTAAAACTTCCAAATTTATGAAGTTTTAAAATGAGCCTTGGTTGACTTTTAGTTTTTACAAGTTTGTCACTGATCCCTGGTTTTGCCACAGGTGGGCCTTGCAGAGGGTGCGGAAATCAATTTTAAAATTCGCTTTAAGGAGGACTTAACAATTGTAGCAATTTTTGGCAAAGATTGGAGAACAATCGAAAATTTTAACCGTCATTGTTGTAAAAACTTTGACTTTGAAAATAAGTTGCTTTTCTTAAAGGATAACAATTTTTTTTTTAAATTTTTTTATTAAATTGCCAAATTTTTTATCATTTTGGTTGCCCAACTTCCTTTAATTTTGTATTGATTTTGATACGATTTTTGTAAAAGATTTTGTTATAATTTCCAGAAGAGTAGTTATACCTCCCTAATTTCAAAGTTTTCCTTATGAAAATCGCAAATTTTACACCGCTTATCATTAAGCTAATGATATTTAAGCTGTGATATTGAAAAAAATTTAATGGTGAATAATAAATAAAATAATTTCACTTCTTGTAAAAATTTCCACATGGGGGAGTTGAATTTTGTTTAAATGAAAAACTTTGCTCATGAAAATGTTCTCAAGCCTCAATGTATAATATTATATTTTAGAATATTTACTTTATTATATAATAATTCAAAAGGTTATTAAAATTATTTTTTAACCTAAGCATTATTTCTTATTTCAACAGGAAATAATTGAAGTAACAAGACTTTTCCTCATTTCTAAGAACAGCTCATAAGAATGTCGGTCTAGACTTGAGTGAAGTGTGTACATCGCTCTTACTCTCCGAGTATAAAAATAATTGAAAATTTGGCTGTGCTAAAAAAAGGCCGCCACTCCTGTGAGGATAACTTTCATGCAAGTGATCCTCGGAATTACTAATGTAGGAGGAAAATCTCCAAGAGCGAACAATTCCGTCGAGCACATGCACCGGACATGACTCGCATTACTTTATTGCGCACATTTGGTAGTTTTTTTTTGCGCGGTATAAATGCCCTCTTCAAAGAAGGAAAAGTGATTTATGTCGAGATAGGCAATTTGCGAGAGGGAAAAAAAATGCTGCAAGGGAGGCATCTCGGCACACATTGTGGCCTCCAGAGGAGCAAAACGACTTTGTACGAGTTCGCGTCACGGAGGTTCATCATTAAAACGCACGAGCCGAGCGTATTTGCATTCAATTTAAACTTGCGCGTGTGCGTCCCTGCTGCCGCTGTATTTATTTTCGCGTGCGTAATATTTTATATTTTATTCATGCACCGCGACAGCAGCTGCAAATCGAGCCATGAAAAATCAAAACGCATCACTTCCGTTCCAAACTGTTGCGGTCGACAGCAGAAAATAAAGCGCGCTCAGATGGAGAAGAAAAATTGGTACTCATTATTTATGTGGCGCTGATGCTATTTAAAAAGCTTAAAATATTACAGGCTTACATACACATGACGATTTAATATTTAAAAAAGTTTTTGATTTGAGGAATTCAATTTTTTAGTTTTTCTGAAAAGCAAAATTAATAAAACTTGAACATTGATTTTGGTATATTTATTATTCTTGTAATGGGGTATCTGGAGTTAATTTTTTAATAACTATGGGACCAATAAAATTTGATAAATTTTTAAATGAATTTAATTTTGTCAAATTTCAGTTTCTTAAATCAAAAACTTTTTAAAATATTAAATCTTCCTTTGTATGTAAACCTATGATTTTTCTGCTTTATAAATAGCCTCTCTTTCATGATTTCACTTCTGATAAGGAAAATGTGCCTAAAAAATAATAATAATAATAAAAAAATTAAATAAAAAAAGTTGAGAAATGGAGTCTATATAAGGGTGCAAGATCAAGGAAGGTAATTTTTTAAAGCAAACTTAATTGATTCTAAATAATTTGAGCGAACACATGTTGCTTAGTTTATAATTTATTTCAAAAGCTAGCCTGAGGCAGCAAATGTTTTAGATTTTTTTTTATATCTAGTTTCCATAAAATTTTAGAATCGTTTCCTGATTGCGCTGAATATCCATGTTCCGCACAAATGCGCCATATTGTGTGATTTCGACAGTTGAAAGCATCACGTCCTTTTGATTTATATTCCTGTGAGCAAAAGCGCGTTAATGAATACAGGAAAACTGCGCGGTGCATCAAAACATTGGGAAAACTGCTGGCCAACTGCACCACATTATTATATGAATTTCCCTCTATTTTTCAGCATCGCTCCAGTCGTCATCATCGAATATAATACAGATGACGCCCATGATTTGTTATATTTCATGATGTATTTTCCCCCGCAAAAAGGATGTGACGAATGCAGCATAACGCGCGCGGGTACTTGACGGTGTATCTCGCATGATCAATACACGTGGACACGTTTTGCTGCATCCCAGCAACTGGCAGGCGGACGGCTGTGCTGAAACAAGTGAGCTGTGAAATTTCGCCAGCATCTCGATCGTATGCTCACCGCAGAGTGTATAAAAGTGTTGCCCTGCGAGTGAGCTTGCAGTTCATTCAAGTGAATTATGAACACAAATCATGCATGTGTGCGCGCGCCCTGTGTGTGTATGTTTGGACGCAGATAACCCTGGTGCCAGCTCATTGCCCGATTCCACTTTTTGAAGCCGGCCGGGTGAGTACTGAGGTGTGCAAAACGCGCATTACTTGGCCGGCAGTGCAGCTCATCCGTGTCGGGCGCGTTGCATAAGCACAAACACACGCACTCTCGGATTCGGTTTCTCGCTTTTTCTCACGGATTAATTAAATTCGCGGTTTGAATAGGGTTGGTAATGAACCCACTGCTCATGCTCGACGCGGGTAGGAAGGGTGCATAATCCTGCGCTATGCTCCGGGATAACTTGTTGATCGCGGATGCATTTATGCTGCTCTGATGGCGCTTATCCCCTTATTGTTTCGAACAAATTATTTTCACCATAAAATAAAAATAGCTTAAAAAATATATTATAATTTTTTTTATAAATTCCATTAAAAAATATATTGTTATAATTAGTTTTTTTTTAAATTTATCTTAACCAATTTAACCATCAAAGATTTGCCTCGTATTTTTTTTTTAATTTCTATATTTCTGTTGACGGAAACACACCAAAACATTATATTTTTCATCGGCGGTTTCAAAATCCGGTTCCTATATTAGTTAAAAATTGTGGCCAAAGACAAAAGAAAAAAAATTAAAAATGTTATTTTAAAAATGAATTATGTGTACAAAACTTACCTGGCTGCCGGAGACAACGGGTTCCTCAAGGCACTCCCTAGAGTTGGATTGTTGTTGGGTCACGTGGTGTGGTCCTGCTGAGCTATGGGGGTGGCCGCCGTGGTGATTGACCGGCTGGTGGTGTTGCTGGCCGTGGTAGGCGGCGGAAGGGCCCGAGGTCAGAGGTGACAGCTGCTGCTGCGGATGGTGGTGGTGGTGGTGATGGTGGTGGTGGTTTTGCGTGGACGAAGACGGAGGCGGATGGGTTTGGTAGTGCTGGGGGTAGGAAGAGGAGTGCTGACGACCCGTCATCACCGTCGCCGGACCAGACCCATGGGGTCAGGCTTGTGCCGATTCCTCCTCGCTGAAGTACGCGTGGCCGCCGCCGTGGTACTGCTGCTGCTGGCCGCCGGTGCCCTCGTACGCCCAGGCCGGTGCCAGGGGCCGGGTGGTGCTGCTGGGGCCGCCGCGTCGGTGAGGGTAGCCACCCCCCGAGTGCTCGTTCCACTCCATGCTCATGCTGCCGCAGACAAGAAGTGGGTCTACTCTAAGAGCGTGCGGCTCGGACTGAGTGCCAATTTATTCTGCGTGCGAATAAATCGCGGGTGCGTCAGACCTGGCGAGAAAGGGTGCACGAGGCCAGCCAGTGCATGCTGAACGCCAGCAGATCGATTTTCCCTGCGAGAGAGAAAATATAACACAGAGAAGCAGCGAGCGAGCCAAAGAGCTCGGTGTGTAGCAATTTGCACGGCAACGAGAAGTACTCGTCCTTTTTCTACGTTGACAATTAAGGGTCGCGCGCGCGATTCGGCAGCGGGCTAATTAATCGGCGAACCGGGGCGGAGAATTTTGGCGCAGGGACGCGAGGCGAGCGGGGGTGTCGCGAATTAACTGCAGCACACTGACTTCAATTGAAGCCTGTTGCACATTTGATGCACTCGAATGGCAGTTGTTGCAAAACACCAGCAGCATTACACGATTTCACTCTCCTCCGGTGGCAGTGGTGGCGGTGCTGCTGCTGCTGCTGCTGCGGTGGTGGCTGCCTGCCCCTCGCCGAGGGGATGCTCGCGATCGGCCGCTGTTTTCGCTCGATTCGACACTAGAACTCGTTGACAATCGCCTTGCACGCCGATAATTGCATTATGCTGTTTGTTTGTTGCTATTTTTCGGTCGCCCGTGAATCACATACGCCCGCATGGAAGCCCGGAGAGCCGACTTGCTAAAGCACTAGGGCAACAACGGGGAAAATTCAAGGGGAGGGTTAGAGCCGTACGTAGGGGTTGAAGGTGTATCGACTCAATGTTAGGGCAAACTTGTGTGTCCTCGGTTTGCGTCGAGGAAATACGGAAAAGTTCTCTCCAGACCGGGAAAGTTTGAGTGATATTTTCGAATCGGCCACCGCACTCGGGGCGGCAGTGCAAGCGCTCGCTCGCTCACCCTCTCTCTCACCAGTTCGTACGCGGGTGAACCGCCCTTTGCCGACAGAGCAGCGCAGTAATGCCTGCTGTAAATAGGCGATGTGGTGGTCGAGAGGTTGAAGGATGTGCGCTCCCTTTTTTATTGATTAATATTATTGAGTTACAAGCGCAACTGACTCAGCAAAACCGCCTTATCTTTCCATCAATAACTTTCTTTATTTCTCGGGGAATTTGTAACAAAAGGGGGTCTTGAGGGCTGTTGACACAAAATCTTGCTGAGCTGCGTGCATCCTGTTTTATGCGCTGGGTGGTTGCTGCATGCTGACGAGGGTCTGCGGAGTAAAGAGAGGAATGAGAAATTTTTCATGCGGGGATCATCTTACAAAAAAACCCGCATCAAATTTTTTTATAAGTCTACTTTTTATAATTTAAAAAGTCACTTGTTATAATTTATAGTCTGATTTTTTTTGGTGGAACAGATTTCCAGATATACAGGAAAATTAGAGTTTAATTGACGTGGCGTACGCACACTAATTATCCACACTTGGCGTAATTGTTCGTCATTTGTATTGCGAGAAGGAAGTGGCTGTCATGTTAATAACAAATTTTGGCCAGCACTTTGGCACAATTAGACTCCGAGATGGCCATGCGTGATAAATTATGCACTGGTGTGTGCGTCTCCCGCTAATACATTGCGAGAATGTTAAATTAGCTCTCTAATAAACGCACTCTTTACGTTCCCCTTGACGGCCCTCGCAGATAAGACACGACAAACAAGTATAAAGCTGCGCACTAATTGCTGCATTTTTAATCTGCAATTTCCTTTGTGCAACTACGCAGGGAGTGCATGAAATAAATAGAGCTTTAATGCTTGATATAAAAGGGAAAAAGCAGTAAATTTACTTCTTGTCTAAAAATATAGGAAATCAACTTAAAAATTAATTTTATTGTGACGTAAAATTTTTATCTGGCAATTCAATTGATGTATTTTGTATTCTACTAGGAGTTTCCAATCCTTAATATCCTTAATATTCACAAAAAATTTAAAATTAATTATCAACTTTATAATTAATATTAAAATACAAAAGAGTTAATCAAAATTAAATAAATTAAACAAATTTACATACATGGGCAGAGCGCACTTTGCGCTCTGCGATCTGCGCTCGCGCTCTGCGCTCATGAGCGCGAGCGCAGAGCGCGATCGCACGATTTTCAAAATCGTGAGCGCGAGCGCAGAGCGCGAGCGCATTGGTCGCTGAGCGCAGCGCTCAATTGCGCTCATTTTGCGCTCAAACCAAGAGTAAAAATTCCCGAATTTGATCAAAAATTGTAATGAAAAACAGTGTTTTTATACCAAAAACTTCAAAACTGATCCCAATTTTGGTGATTTAACTTCAACTTTATCATTTCCAATTGCCGATGTATTTTTTGTTATATTAAAAAAATTTCTAAAAAGTCGCACTTTTTCCTCGGATAAATATATTTTTGAGCGCAACGCGTGAGCGCAAGACTTTTTAAAAATTTGAGCGCGAGCGCAGAGCGCGAGCGCAACATTTTCAAAATCTTGATCGCGAGCGCAGAGCGCGAGCGCACTGTTGCCAGTGATCGCGAGCGCGAGCGCGAGCGCAAAATTGTTGAGCGCACCCATGTATGCAAATTTATTTGTATAGCATTAAAAATAACTTTTAAAAGTGCATAAAAATACACTATTGTTGAAACCAGCACACAATAAAGGATAATGCCATTTTTATGGTTTAATTATTTAATTTTAATTGTTATGCGTCTTTTGTGAGCTTTTTAATTACGTGATGCTTGAAAACGCTTGAAATTCATCACATATAGCTGGCTGCAATTTTCACCTATTGTTTTATGCGTCGTTTCCTTATGCGTTTCGAAAAGTGCAAAACGACACGCGGCTCTGCGGCACTTTTTTCCAGCAGCATAATTAAACAATTTGCGATTATTCGGTGCGAGTGCAGCTAGGCGCAGGGGGCGCGGGGAGGCGCGGGGCCGCCGCGGAGAGCGAGTGTGCGTAGTACGCGCGCAGTGCACTTGAGCACTACTACAAAAAGAGCGCTATTTGCCATTGAATCCACTCTCGAGTTGCATCGAATCAATACGCTGGAACAAAACACATTGCTGCGAGAGCAAAAAAAGTTCCAGCAATGCGGCAAAAAGGGCTGCTGGAAAGTACGTACAGCCCTCGCTCGCCTCTCCTCAAATGCAGCCTTGAAGCGCGGCGCAGCCACATCTGCAGCGCCGGCCGCCCCGTGTCATTACCAACATTTCGTTTTCTGCCTTTTTGTTTCCCATTTCGTCGCCGTTCGTTAAGCTCCAGCACCTCGAAATAAAGAAAATGAGAACAGTCAAATGCACTTTACACACTGTCTTACTGCATTGTTATTATTTCTCGGCTTGATCTAACCCGCCGCCGCTGTCAATGCCCAATCTCGAGGTCGCTCCACAGCCGAACAACAGCTTTCACACCGAATGATTCCTTCGACTCGCGGTGTAATTTCTCAAGTTACGCCGTGTTAAAGAGACGAGATTTGAACAGGAAAATAGATTTTGTATAAATTTAAATTCTCCTATTCTTTGTCGAAGAAAAAAAAATTACAATTTTGATTTAAGAAATTAGGTCAATTTAGTAAAAGAAATAGAGGAAGTTATAAAAGTTTACCTTTCATTTACATTTTTTTCTAATTTCAGCAAAAGAAAAATAAAATTTTGCTTTATATAAAAAATATGAAAAAAAAAATTAAATTATGAATCTTTATCAATTCAATAATTCAAATAACAAGAACATCACTGTATAATAATAATCATTTATGGTTCTTACTATAGTCAAAAACACCTCAGTTGCATGGTTCAAAGGTTAAAAGTATGCAAGTTTAAATTTTGTTATTTCCTTTTTTTAATTGTTAATTTTGTGCTTTTGTAAGCAAAATTTCTTGTTACGCTGTGGCAAATTTTAGAATTTCATGTAGAAATTGGTGTTTAAAATTTGAATTTCCTCTATATCAGCATCAATGAAAAATAGATGCATTAGGGTATAACAATATTCTATTAACTTTGAAACGCTGTAAAAATATTATAAATACTTTAATCTATTCCAAAAAATTTATATATATGATACACAATTTCTTGCTAACTCCAATTTTTTTCCCATGCATGCTGATGAATTTTTAGTATTGAAATAAAAAACCCCCAGCACAAGCGTGCAGGAAACAGCAGTGCAAAATTATATGAAACTTCCTCTTGCTCTCTCGGTATGATGTTTGTAACTGCTCAGGTAGAAAATCACAGCGGCCCATTGCACAGCCCATTGCCACTGTAGTTGCAGCTGTAGATTTTCTATCAAAATGTTTTGATTTCTCCAACGACTCCGAATAAGTATGAAACTGTTTAAACAAAAAAAACATAAATTTGAAAAACAAATATGCTTAATATATTTCTTTATTTTAATGTTTTTCAAATAATATTCTAGAACGAGCAAAGGGATTGCCCAGTTGGTCATGTGCAAACCAATGTATTCGCCGCACGAACGTTGCCGGTTGCCGCAAGTGTATTGTGTGGGCCATGCATATTATCAGCAATTTTGTTTGCTTTCATAGCGCCAAGTGTTTTCGCCTCGAGTTTGCGTGTCCACCATATTATTCTGCGGAGTGTTTTATCTTTCTACTTCCTGTGCCGAGCAAAGACGATATTATATTTTCACATATATACGTGTCCACTGATTTTTATTCCTTCTGCGTTACTCTTCTTCTTCTTCTGCAATCAATTAAAGTAATAAAACTCGCGGGGTTTCAAGCTAGGAATGTGCGCGCGGTCGGAGTCAAAGGGAGCCGGTACGAATTTTAAGCAGTGCTGGCACAACCTCGCCTCCATTTCGTGCGTGCCCGGTGCACCCGAGTCGCGGGTACACCATACCATAGCAAGTGCTAGCGTGAAAATTGGATCTCATTGCGCAAAAAGTTCATTTCCTCCGGTCCGGGCAGCGCGTGGCCGCCGAAAATCAATACGAAACTTTCAAACCGGGCGGCCGAGTTGGCGCGCTGGGCGTGGCCGCGGCGAGTGAGATTCTCATACCAAAATAACAGCAAGTATGGAGTTGGCCGGAAGTCATCTCATAATCCCGCTTTGTGCTTGTTGATTGATCTTTTGTGGCTTATAAGAATGAGAACAGGTACGATTATCGCCGATTTTCGCAAATTCGGAGGGTAAGCCCGCGTTTCGGGGCCGCGTTCGGGACTTCGGGGGCCGCGGGGGCGCGACCGAGTGGCGCCGTGGGAGGGGAAGAGTTTGGCATTGGCAAGCTGCATAAAAAGTTTGAAGAAGTAAAAAGCAGCCGACGGCGTGTTTTCTTTGCGCTGCGCCTCCTCCTTTTTTTATCAATTTGGCAGTGATCGCTAATGCGCGCTGTAGTGAATATGTCTACGTGAATCGTACTCGTCCGAAATTCGTCTTAAGGTGCGAATCCCCTCGCCGGCCGACGAGTCGGCCTCCCGAAACCGGTGCCAGTGTCGTGCCAAAGTGGTGTGTGCCGTTTCGGCTGGTGTGCAATTGTATTCGGCCGAGTAATCTCCGCAGCAATGAGAGCGAATATGGCTGCTGCTGGTGCCGCGAGTGCGATTACTTCTCGCGGGGCCAGTAAAATGGCCAGGGCCGCGCGTCGTGCCGAGTTTTGGTGCCGAATCGGTGCTCTTTCTCGCTGATTGATTTTCGCCCTTTTGTGCTCTCGTTCGCTCACTCGCTGCTCCCCGTGCACTTTACTCGGGGGGGGCTCATACGCAATTACGCTCGCTATCAGTACGGTAAGGTGCAACGCTATCGATTTTGTCCGAAAAGCTGCAGTTTACGCCCGCCTGATCAAAATTACTTTCGAGTTCAATTTTCATTTTTTGAATTTCTCTAAATTTTTTTAATTTTATTTTAATTCATGAAAATTACTCTTTCTCGGTTTGCCGAAGAGTTTTGTAAGTGACCGACTTTTTAAATCGTAGATAAAATTTTGTGCTTTTCACGAACAGCTGTGTTAGATAAACATTATTACTGGGACTTTGCATTTGCTATCTCCGGCTGATAGAGCCCCTCTTTCCTTTTCTCTAATTTTTTTTGCTTGTTTCCGGAGACTTTTGAACCTTTGCTCTAATTGTCAGAAAATAATTTCGAAATCGCATGAAGTCATTCCCGAAGGCGTTTTTAATCGTCTTATCGCGCCTTTTCTATATATGATTGCCGTAAAAAGATGCACCTCCAGCAAACACAATATAAATTTTCAACAAATCAAATTAACGTTCAGTGAGATTAGATAATTTTTCCTAGTACAAAATTAACGCTATTTACCTAGTGGCGCCTTTGCCGGAACCAAAAAAATATGTCTGGAAAAAAATAAAATTTCTAAATAAGTCCTAATTATTATTATTATTATTTATTCAACTCGAGTCACGAAAAAAAATTGAAATTGGAAAAATGAGTAGAAAGGGGAATTATTTGCCTTTTTAATTTTCTTATCTCGTTCCCTTAAAAATAAGGACAGCAGCAAAAGTGAAAAGCGCAACGCTTCGACATTTTAAAATATTTTACTTTTGGTGGCCTTTTTACCACCGCGGCCTTCATAGTTTGTGAAGAAAGTGCGATGAAAGGCCACGTTTTATTTATTTAAATTGGAAATTTTCCTGCACCAATTAAAATAAAATTTCCTCATTTTACAAAACTCGTATCAAATTAGAAGCTCTCTCGGGAAAGTAAAAATTAAAATAGCTGCATTTTTTAATAACTTTTGTCACCACGGAAATCGATGCCTAGTTCTTTTTTCACGAGGGGCCCTTTTCTTCATTTGCCATTTTATTTAGATTTTCTCTCCCTGACTTCAAAGTCGAATCGCCATTTGGGGGGCCTCGCTCCTCATTAAGAAAAACCTGCTCCCTCAGTTATTCCGAAACTACTTGAATGGCCGCAACTGCGTAGTAAATGCGCTCGGTGCGCACTCGAGTATTTTTCTCTTCACTTGACGGAGCGCTCGGAGGAATCGATTGTGAATTTTCGGGAGGAGGAGAAGCGAGGGTCTCTAATTTAATGACCGCCTCTCGTGTAATTTTATGCCGATTGTACGGAGCGCAAAGAAAAAGGCAGCACCGCGCCAGCGAGCGCGGCGGTTCCCCTCGTTCTCTTTTTTGAGGAAATGCGTGTACAGGTTCCATGTTATGTATTACACTTTATGGCTGCAGTGTGTGTTCTTATTTTTAACCATTTTCCCCTACTTCTCGCTCTCTCACTCTGTACCACATGCGCATAATATTACATTTGAAAAGCAAGCACCAGTAATTTTACCACCACCGCTGCTGCGTTACTTTGTTGCCGCTCTTATCGCGCGCGCCTTCCTCTCTTTATGCATTTCTTTCCTTGTGTTTTTACGCCAAATTGTTTGCGCCAGAATGGAGCTAGCGAGTGAGTGCGTTTGTGTGAGTGTGCGGAGAAATTCTCAACACTAATTGCCCCCCGACTGCAGTGATAATTGGCGTGCAGGCAACTTTTTAAGTTCAGAACAGTTAGCAAAACGTTCGTTTATTTATTTGACCGAGATGGTGTTGGTGAAATTTTACTCAAGTTTAGATTTCTGTAAAATTCATTGACAGATTCACGTTTTAAACTTTTATTTTTATTTAATTACTTATTTACTTTTTTTTGCCAAAAATATATTTCTTATGAAAAAATTGCTAGCAAAATGAATTTTCATTTACAAAATTGGTTCCAAAATTTGCTCTGGATGGATCCAAAATCCTCTCCTTAACGTTCTTATTTTTGCATTTTATATTTTACAAATCAAACACCTTTTTAAAAATATACTTTTAGTTCTCGCTCTTGCGAAACGTGTTTCTAACAATTATCAACAATCGCAGACTCTCAAAGTTCTCTTGCTAATTATCAGTTGGAATGCGTGGAGCAGCACGATTAGCGCCGCGATTTTCGTGATGCCTTTTTTGTTTTTCTCTTGCCGTGCGTTTCAATCAATACGATCGGTCGGTTCCTCTTCGTCCTCTCGGTTTATCCTATTTTCTTTTTGGCGAGCGAAACGCGCGCGGTGAGCCAGGTGTCGGTCGTCCGTGGCTCTTTTCATTTGGGTTCATTAGCATATGAATCGGCGTGCACTTGCTCAAGCTATGTATGTCACCTTGCTTGCTTTTTCACTTGCGCGCGGATCGGGCATTTGAAATTTGTTGATCTGACCTAGAAAGAAGGCGCGGCGCACGTGGAGGACGCCAAACTCTTTTTTTTTTATCGTTCCTCCAGCACACCTCCGGCCGGAATCCACCGCCGCCGTTTTGTTTCCCGCCAAACAAACTTGATTATTGTGCGAATTTTCTTCTCTTGCTAATCGAATTTTTCTGCTGTTGACAGGGGGTGTGAGCCGGAATCATCAGGGGAAGTCGATAATGCAGGCAAGGTGCTGAACAAAACTGTTCAGTAGCTTACGGAACGTCCTGAGGACACAAGAAGAAAATTGCTTCTTAGAGAGTTGGCACCAAGAGAGAATCCCCCCGCTGGCCGGAGCACGACGCGGAAAGTGCAAAAGGTTTATGAAGGGCTGCTGTTCAATGAGTAACATCAGAATAACGACGCGAACGGATCAGCAGCAACACTTTCCGCAGCGAGGATCAGCGAGTTTGGAAGAGTCACCAAGGACGAATCATTCTTCTCAATCAACAAGCACATTGCAGCCCCAGTAGGCTGCCAATAGGTGAGTGACCTGACCGAAATGCAACATGCGTGAAAGATGCATTCACTGCATAATTCGGTCCAGAAATCTTTCAAGATTTATAAAAAAATGTGGTACAGAATTTGCAAAGCGATGCACTAACTTGTTTACTAATTGATATGTAACAACTTCTAGTAAAATCTAAATTGAAAAAATATTGGTCATGGGCATCAAGATAAGATTAATTTATGACAGTATTGACAGTGATTATTATTGAAGTATAATGTTTTTAAAATTTAAATTGAAACAGTCAATGATTAAATCGAAGTAATAAAACTGCCATTTCATTAATCTATTTTTTATCTATAAAGTAAATAATTCATGCTATTAGGAGGAAATTGTGATTACACATGAAGCAAAATTTTTAAAATTACAAACAAATTAATAGGAAATTAAACATTAAAAACTGATTTTTAATTACCACTTAGGTTTTTATATATATAAAATATTGATTTTGATTGTTCCAGATTTAAAAATTTCGACCATAGAGGCAGCCGGCGCGCCCGGCGAAAATCTTGCAACGATTGCTTCGGCACTGGAGCCATCACTGGCACCCCCTCCCCCGCTGGCCCCGCCACCGGCGGTGGCACAGCGGCCAGCATCTCCTGCGAGCAGCATAAGCAGCGTGGAAAGTGGCAGCAACGCTGGAGGGCCACCTGAAAGGCCACTAGCGCCTCCAGTACCACCGTCAGAACCTGCCATCGTGTCCAGTCACCCCATCGGCGAACAGCAGTACAGCTTACGATGGAACGACTACCACACAAGCATCCTCAGCTCCTTCAGACACTTGAGGGACGAAGAGGACTTTGTGGATGTCACGCTGGCTTGCGACGGCTGCTCTTTCACTGCCCACAAAGTCGTGCTGTCTGCTTGCAGTCCCTATTTCAAGAGACTGCTGAAGGTACTCGAGAAAATAAATTTATTTCTTACTGTTATTTAATTATATTCTTTATCTTGCAGGCGAATCCATGCCAACATCCAATAGTGATTTTAAGAGATGTCAAGAGGAAGGACATTGAAGCGCTGCTACGGTTTATGTACAATGGTGAAGTCAATATTGGCCAGGAACAGCTCAAAGACTTCCTCAAGACTGCTCAGATGTTACAAGTTAGAGGCCTTGCTGACGTCCCAGAGAGAGATTCTCATCGACTGTCAATGGTAATTGATCTAAATTTTCAATCATTTTTGTAACATCAACTCTATTCCAAATTACTGGTGCTAATTTTGTAATAATTTTCAGGGTTCTGATCAGGTTGGTTGGGGTTCAAACACATTGAATTCAAGTGCTCGTGACGATGGGGCTGTGTCACCACCTCCAATGAAAAGATCCAGGGGAGACAGATACTCGGATCTCCCAAGCCAAATCAACAGCCAGGTTGACCACAGGGAATCTTTGTTAAGTCAAGCTCTCGAAGGCCATCCATTGAGTGTGCAACTGCACGTAAGTTATCTTTAAAGTTAAACGTTTTTAATAGATCCTATTTAAATTAAACATTCCTTGCTTCCAGTCTGGAGATGAGAGCAATGCCAGTGATTCTGCCTCCGACAAACTTGAGATTACAAACAATGGTCGAAGCAGCAGTAGTCGTAGGGACGAGCGGGATGCTGTTCCAAAGTCGGAGCCGTCTGAGTATGGAGAAGATCTTGGAGAAGGCGTCGATCAATACAGGGGAGAGAGGAATCTTTATCCAACTGGTTTACTTGGCATAAGAGGTATTGTTTCCAATGCAATTTATCAAAGTTTCGCTCATTATTATTTATTCAGGACTCACTGATTTGCTGCCTGGGCCAGGAACATCACAAGACCTAGGAAGCTTTGGTTAGTAAAAGTGATTTTATCGGTAGCGTTAATTTACAACTTGCATGGGAATTTGCTCTCTTGAAACTTGGTTAGATGTCGGATCATCATGGAAATTTGACGGTTTTTGTTGTAGATTTTAATGAATTTTGTGTGGTAGGTAATGTCATTAAGAGGCCCTGCATCAAGTGATCAATTGTATTTTGATAAAAACTTTCACATTTGTTTCTTGTGGGGCCCATAACACTGAGCTGGGCTATCCTTGCAGGAACAATGACTGAGCTAAGCCAATCCATGCCATCGTCAAGTGGACATTCCTCACACAGCAACATCTCGGAAGGCTCCCCTTTGTGTCCCATCTGTGGTAGGGAGTACTCGTCCAAAGGAAACTTGCGGCAACACATCAACAATGTGCACCAGCAACCACAGCAGTGGTGCACTTGTAACATTTGTGGCAAGAACTTCAAGACCAAGCATTACCTTCAGAACCACAAGCTATACGCACACGGACAGAGACAGAGAAGCCACCAGCTGCCAGTTCAGAGCACCCAGCCACCTACTACATCCAGTTCCTCTGGTCAAGAACAAAACTTGACCTTCGTGCAGACATTCCGTGGACCCAACAGCTCACTTACAATCAGAGGACCATCACCTGTGAGGACGCCCTCGGTCAGAAGTGCACCCGAGCACCATGAAGTTCCTTTCTACCCTCTACAGTTCCGACCTCCGTTCATGCCGCAGTTCCAAGCAAGACCCGAGTTAATGAACCAACTGGCTGGCCCAGGAATGTCACAAATCCAGAGGCCGCAGCATCAGCACAACCAGCAAGTCAAAGACGAGCGCAGCAACTCTTCACTTTTCCATCCGCCTTTCTAATTTCTCCCTTAGTTATTTCTTCTAGTGCTTGCTTGATTTAGTTAATTGTGAGAATCATTTAGTAATTTCTGGCTCCTCCTGTTGTGCAGGCGAGTCGACTTCTAATTACCAAGTGTCCTGTCATCAAAGCCACGCAGATTTAGTTTGTCCACTCTGTGGGATCCTATTCGAGGAGCAATTTGACCTCTCGCAGCATTTGTCCGATCATTATCCCCCAGACTCAAAACAATGTCCCGTTCCCGTCTGTTTAAAATTGTTTTCCCACCCTAATTCAGTGCGCAATCACATGAAACAGAAGCATGGACACGTGTGGGACCTAATGAAGAAGATTAAGAGACAGAATTTATTTTACAGAAGTTAGCCGTTAAAAATGTTCGTAACTTAGCCAATCAATGGCGAACAGACTGTTTATTACGTAAATTAATAGTTTCAGCAGCTATTGTATAATAAACAAATTCAATATTAACTGTGATTTTTTGTACTAACACTGACCTCTTTCATGAGAGCAACTTTGAATTTGGCCTTAGTCTTGTAACAATTTTTTTTCCAAATTTGCTTTGTGGCAACTCTCTATCAACCAATTCCATTTTACAGTGAACAGAAGAGGAGGCATCGACATGACCAGAGTCCGTGCCACCGACCCTCGGCCGTGCCCAAAGTGCGGCAAGATTTACCGCTCCGCTCACACTCTGAGAACGCATCTTGAGGACAAGCACACCATCTGCCCGGGCTACCGCTGCGTGTTGTGCGGCACTGTGGCCAAGTCGCGGAACTCTCTGCACAGCCACATGAGCCGTCAGCACCGCGGCATCAGCACCAAGGACCTGCCCGTCCTTCCGATGCCATCGCCGTTTGACCCCGAGCTGGCTTCCCGTCTTCTGGCCAAGGCCGGCGTCAGGGTCTCGCCTGCCGAATTGGCAGCTCGAGCCTCGCCCACCGGTCCCCGACGCTCCGACATCAGGCTCGACCTGAAGCACGCCTCGAACAACGACCGAGGCTACGAAGGTCGGCACCACTCGGCCGCACAGTCCGAGAGCAGCATGTGCGGCGAGGACCCCGAAGACCTGAGCGTGACCAATTCTCGCTTTGACGCCCTCTCTCCGCCCAATTCGTCTGCGTTACTTAAGCAAAAAGCAGCCTTACTAGCGGCAGCTGCTGTGAGTGGCAACAGATCTCACTTGGATGCCATAGCACAGTCGATGAACAGGGAGGCGCTGGCGGCCGCAGCGGCCGCCACGCCCAACTCCTCCACTGGCAGTGCCCTTATTGACACTTACCTGCAGATGATAGCTGAAACCAGCGCGCTCGGCATCACGCCTGAGCAGCAGGCCGCCCTGCTGGCGGCGCGCAACGAGGCCTTACGGAAAGCAGCCCGTCCCCAGGGAGACATCGGTCTAGCCAGGAAGGAGCGGGGAGACGTGCACAGGGAGCACCAGCACCACCGCAGCAAGGAGCGCCGTCGGATCGGCAGCGGCCGCCACGGCGAGTCCTCCGGTGAGGAGTCGGACGACTACAGCGACGAGGATAGGGGCAAGTGAGCCCCTGCCGCGACTACTACTCCAGCAACAAAAAACCACAACCACCAGAAACATCTTTACCTCAGCCTAAGTGTAAGCAAGAAACACAGTTGTTCAACTACTACCTCTTAATTTCCAACTACTATCACCAACACCTTCTCGAGAGCAAAAGGTAAAAATTCTTATGCGGGTAATAACTTAGGCTAATCAATATTGGAAGCATTTTGTTATTTATGCTTTAATTAACTCATCTACCTCATTGACACAAAGACACTGTTCTCATTTTGACTACAGAGAAATTGAAAGCATACATACACTTTCGAGATATGATTTTTTTGTTAACTAAGTTAGGCGAAAAACTAAATCAATCCGTACGTATAATAAGGTAAACCGTGCCCAGAACAAAGTTGAGTTAACTGTAATTCAAGCCATTGCATAATATTGATGTTCTGTTCCATCAACCCGATGACGGAAGAAGAGAAGATGAAGATGATAAAATTTATTGTGTTATTTATTATTTAAGGCCACAGGAGATGCTGAAACGCGCAGAGTCTTCTCCTTCCAATAATGTGCTTTGTTAATTATATAAATAATTATAATTGAAAAATGTGGACTGGAAAAGTGACACGAAAATAAGAACTTTGCATCCCGCCCCGTGCTACTCAAATTAATATTGAGCCCCGCCCTGCCCACCCACCCACCCTCAATGTGGCCAAGTCCAGTTATATCGTTGAAATCTTGCCACATCGTTTTCCCGTAAAATTGTTAGCCTACAAGTGTTTGAAGATTGATAAATTGACCGCTCCTATGGAATGGAAATTATTAAGGACAAAAAATTAGTGTTGTTAATTTTTAAGTCTTTATATTAGGCAAAAATTGAATCATGACAAAATTGAAATAAGCGATGTAATGAATGACTTTTCGTCTTTGGGAGGGGTTTGAAAGCGTGAGAAACATTGATTGACAAAACCTCTTCAAGGTTCCTATAGGTGTATTCAATTATTGATGAATGCTAACAAGCAAACACTGTGAAATATTTTTCTTATATAAAAACGAGGAGTTGCATTATTTACGCAAGTATAAGAGGAATATTTATTCCGGCTAGATTTTGTCAAAACAAAAAAACCACCTCACCGGTTTTCAATGGTTCCTAATTTGAAAAGAAGTGTAAGTCCAAAATATAAATAATTGTATGCAAACCTCCTCAACGCGAATTCGAAACCAAACCGTACACACCCACCCACCAGAATCCAAATCCAAGCAAAGACATTTACGCTAACCTGTTGTATCGTTTCAACAGACTGATGAGCGAAATTTTTTATTAAGAAATAGCTAGTTCAAATCAAACTTATGATGTATTGAAATCTTTGTGCGCTCGCTCCTCATATGGCAGCGCAGGAAAGAGAACCTTTATTCACAAAAATATCCACGCAAGCCTTAAATTTTGACCCATTCGCTAAGCGGGAGAATTTAACTTTGCAGAAAACACAATGAAAAATAGTTACAGTGTTGTTCTCTGATAATTTTTAATTTACCAACTGAAGCTTCCGTAGTTGATATCGAATGAGAGTTATATTTTTAGTGTTGTGTTCTTCGATATTAATATACGAGCTTGGTGAAATACCTCAATCGTGCAGTTCCATAGAATAATGTTATCAACTCGATGACCACAAGTTATCCCAACCCTAACAAAGTACAAATCTATACCTTTTATTGTAAAAAAAGATCCATCGTCACTCCCTGACGTTAAACCGCGGAGAAGCCACTTAAAAACAATACTTTTTCACACACAAAATCATAACACAGTCGCAACTACTTAAAATTATAAACACAGAGTTAAGGAAAAAATTATCTGATTTAGTCATCTTGAATCAAAAGTTTTCCATCTAAAAAGAGGAAACGCGGTCAAGCTGCAGAGAGCTTGAATTTTACTCGCGCTTCTTTTTTTCATTAACTGATATTGAAACAGACCACACATATCCTATACACCATTCATTATTTGTTGACATGTAATCAAATGGATATTAACTACATCTATTACTAAGGAGACTGTCCATTTTATTATATAGACTCGTTTTATTGCATTTATTTTTAAACAATTTGAAGCAAGATGATTTCTTGATCACGTTTTGTTAGTTTTGTTTTGATGCCAATGGTGCTATATGCAATTGTCATGTAAATCGTCGCTTAAAACTCATCCTATCTCACACTTTACAGAGTAAAAGCAAGTCTGAATGCATGTTTCGTCACACACAAAATTTACATAACACTTCCATCAAAACGCATAGCATATATTTCAGATGACTAATTCAGCCGCCGTCAAGCCGATTAAAAAGTCATTCAAACAACACTCGCTTAATGTAATGGATTAATTTATACTGACTCAGATTCGCGTTGTAAACACAGCAAATATTTTTACACGTTTAGCTTGAAGCGCAGGGACTCAATATGGAAATCAGTATCAATTTTAAAATAATAATATTATTTAAGCAGTTAGTTTAGCAAAGCGAACCAACTACCTCAGGTTGCATAACTGTCCCAAATCACCGCGTGTTAACTCGGGCGATGTTCTTGCCTTCTTTATTGAATTAGACTCCAAGTCATTATACAGAACACACATGTTTATACAATAAAAAAAACAGCCACCCGTATTTTATCCCGCGTCTATACAGTACAAAATTACCGTTTCACAAGTTATAATTCATCAATCTTTGTAACGCTGATGAGCTTTATTTAAAATACCATGACAGGAGAGTTCTCACTTTAAAAGAAAACGTTGACCTTCAGGGAATTTAAAATATTATATAAAAATGATGTGTATGAATCAAAGCACACTTGTAGTATGCCTGGAAAAAATTATTGATATGTGTACCCGCGAACGTGTGCACAAAATGTAATTTCTTCTTTTTCGCGCCCCGATTCCGCCCTTGCGTATGTTGCAGTTGAATATGAAAAGAAATTAATATGTTGACAAGTTAGATCCCAGCTTTGGTTATTTTGAAAATACGCTGTTGATTGGAAAATTTTATAATTGACAAGAGCTTTACATAACTTTCACCAACACTAGTATACGAGAACATTATACAATAATAACATTTAAATAAATCTCGGGCGACGCGCGCCGGCGGCCCAAATTCGGTATTTTCGCCGAGTCGCGCGACTCGCCTTTTGTGATTCCCTCAATTGCTGATCACCCCGCTGACAAATGTGCAATATTGGCTGTTTTGATTGAAGAAGCTGGGATCTTTTCTTCGTTGGAACAGTCCCGCGGATGGACTCTAAAACCAGTAGGGCTCCTCTTAAAAAAATCGGTTTTTATCGTAGATTGCTTTTGAAGCTCAATAACTAGATTTATGTAAAATTGATTGGTTTCTCAGTTGGTTACGAGTTCTGTTAAATTATATCGTAAATGTTTATCGCAGAATTTTATGATTTTCTCACACAAAACATCGCAAATTCCGCAAGAAGTATATATGAAAATTAAAGTCCTTTTTTTAAACATTTTCCGCTATTTTTGACAATTGTGCGACGCCGCGCACAGACGGGCTTCTCTTTTGAAATTTCGTTTTAGAAAGATGACTACACACAAATGGAGACTGAAACATTTTCAAGATCACAATTATTAATTCATCATATGAGTGTATCTCAGGGCTTTTTAGTTAACTTCAAATGTAAAACGTCTGCTCTGTAAAAGTTAAGGAAGATAACTCGGAAAGTGCCCACCTTTGATCAGAAGTAGAACCTCCCATGATAAAAAAGAATCCGTCAAATTGAATTAACTCCACTTGACTCTTAATATTAGGCGCGGAGAATTATTTTAGAATGAGTCGGGTGAAAGCACACATTTTTTTAAATGTAAAAAGCGAGAAGACAGGACTACGTATTGCGGAAAAGTTCAGATGAAATCGATTTGAGAGGGAATAAGCTATGAGAACAAAAAAATCAGCTGAGCGCTGCTCACTGTAAAGAAAGTAACGATTCACAATGGGATATTAGAAAAGCTAATTGCCACCCAACGGAAAATCTTTCTTTATTCTTCGTTCAATTCTGATGCTAGAAAGTAGATGTACAATTTTCGTTTGTTTGATTTTGTAAATTACGTCTTAAGGGAAAGTTGCGAAAGAGTGCGAAAAAGGTCACGATCGAGCATGGAACGGATTAAAATGGTTTGTTGACAAGCAAGCGTTTTAGAAATTCGCGATAAATTCGTCTAAAGGAATAATAATTACGTAGTAATCTAACGGTAATACTAGGATTATCAAAATTTTCGCGTTTAAGGCTATTAACAAAATCAAAGATTGATTACGTGTTTTAGATCCTCGGGTGCTTATATGCTAGAAAATGAAAAGTTTGTACAGCAAGTTGGTTGAAATCAGAACGAGTTGGATGGTTGTAAATAATAAGGCTTAAACGTAGGAGTTATTCACTTGGTATAAAATTTAAGTTTCCGCCTCTCGAGGGCTCTTGGGTGGGATGAGAAGTTGCAGGATGATTAAAACAAGAAGAGAACCTTTTGAGTTAATTCAAATTTGTATATCTATCTATCAATATAGGTTACAATTAATTTTTGCAAGTTCAAAAATCGTTAATAGACTAGGCTTATTATTGAATTAAAATGATGCGCGCGCTATTTCGTTAATTAAGTGACAATTAGTCTCGTTGTTTTCTTTGTTTGCAAAGGAATTGAATTCTGTATGTAAATTTCAGTGTTTTTCGTGTATAATTATGTAAGTGCGATCCAATCAACACATCCCAGAAATCCCGGAATCCCCGATTGGGCTTCTTGATTAACACCCCCCGTTAGTGAACACGCGTTCGGAATTTTACATTGAACAAAAAGGAGACACGGCCCGTGGTGAAGATGATTAATGTGTTATTGGATATATAAAAACAAAATTAAAAACTTGAAAAAAAGAGCAGACTTAACTCTAGGCATGTTTTCTCTGAAAGAAAAAACACGAAGCATATATATTACTACTTATTACTTTCGCTACTCTATTGCTACTACCTCACTCGTTGTACTACCGAATAATTTGTGCGTTGTCCCATTTGATGAAAACTAAATTTTAGATTGCGATGAGAAAGAGTCAAAGGAAAAAATATATACATAACACACACGTAGATATTGGTAAAAATCACGGACGAGACACGTTTTGCTAACACGTAATTGGCGAACCTCTTTGGGTGATTTATTTAGACGAGAGAAAATTAACAAAATTATATACGTATAGAAAACGACTTTTACTCCCCCATGTTTTTGCTGCACAGCTCACCTCTTTCTATGTGACAAAAAATTCGTTGCATGTGTTCTTGGCGCGTATGTAGATGCCCCCGATTTTAGTGCTGGTTTAAAGTGAATTTTTTACTTCTACTTATTGCAAAGGTACACACAATTGTTGAATGATAAGAAGGCAAACAAAAAATACCAAACTTATATACTAAATAAACTGCTGATTCGCGAGCTTATAATCACAAGATATATGATTGAAAAAAGAACATAATTACGAAACTGACTGTACTGCTAGTGCCATAAATTTTAATACTGATGATGTTATTACCGTAGATGTTTTACGTGTATCCTTTGACGTTATATTACTGTATGAAAAGGAAGTAAAAAATTGTTTCTCGGACTGGCAGTGTTGAACTATATAGAAAAAAAGTACGGTTGAAATTATATACCAAAATAATCGCGCAGTTTGCAACAAGAACACTCGATACAAGTTTTAAATATTCCCCTCTATGGAATGATGAATTTAATATGTAAAAAATTACCACCGCGTAATCCGTGCAAATATTCAAAGTGTAAATGTGGTTCCTATGCCATGAGAGTGGGGCCGCCTTAAAAAAAAAGAAAGATTTTCACAAAATGCTCCATAGTACACCCCATATTATAGACTTAAAGAGGAAAGTCGTATAATCCAATTTCGCTGTTGATGGTGCTGACGCCAAACTCTTTGATTTTCTACTTACAAGAAGTGTCACAATATATCTTTTTCTTAATTTTTTATCTATCGCGTTCACCTGGGATTTATGTTGTGTGTTGATTTTGCAACTCAGGGCAATTTTAGTTTTTATTTTTGTATGTCCTAGCGTGTAAAGTTCTCAAAGTAAATATGATGATTTTTTCGCAAGTGGGGATTTTTCGGTGAAAGTTTCCCGTTCTCCAAATTGTACAGCAGACGGCGTAACGCGGCTAAAATCAAAATAATTCCTACTATTGGAGCATGTGATAATGAAATCAGTGCGGAGAACTGGAGATTTTTTCCCTTTGAAGCGTTTAATTTTTTTTATTGCGAGTTGGCACCTCAAAGTGAATTACGAGTAATTTTTCTGCGTCACAAAAAGGCGTCACCGTTTTTGTTTCCGATTGATTGATCCCCTTGTTGCTTTTTTTAAATTAATATTTCCCCACTAATTGAAAAATGGAAAACATCATTATTTTCAAAATGAAAAAATCCTCACCCCTACTTTTTAAGTTGAGCTTAATTTTAAACATTTCCCTAATTGTAGTTAATGTGTGTGAGTGCTTGCATGTTGTTACCCCAGCAGTCCCCTTTTTAAATGAGAAACAAAAAATTAAATCGAACGGCAAAGAATTTTTGCGGAATTTATTAATAAAAAACCCCATTTTCACACCGACCTCAGGATCTTGATATATTTACACGAGAAAAGGAAACTCTCTACAAACAATTATAATAATTAAAAACCAACACTTGGATTTTGCTTTTGTCGCCTCCCCCGCGAGCACAGTCACGGCCGAAATTATTTTTATACTACACTGACGATAGGGATTTTAAGAAAGAGAGAAAACGGCTCGGACGTGCTCGGCGGGGGACGCAGCCGCGATCGGAAAGGACAAAATTTCGCCTCCCACCCCTTCCTACGGGTTAATTAACTCTACACATTTGCATCCACGTAGTGCCAAAAAGAGCAAGTTGGTCGGCAAATTGGCGAGACTGGTGCGTTCCGTGCACTCGCCCCGTCCGACCGCTCGAGTTATATTTCTTTGAAGGAGCGGACTCGGAGTGACGGGCGGTGCACGCGCACAAAAACTATAATTATGTGATTTGCTCACCGATTTGCTGGCTCAACGCCTGTATTCCAAATGACGCATGAGACTTTGCTGATGTTTTTCAGTTGCGTCCGTTTTTATTCGCAACCTCAAATTCCGCTGATCTCTTTTTTCCGGAAAAGATGTTTTTGAAACAAATTCCTCCCCGAAACCGATTTTGCTCATCTGGAGTGGAAATTTTGTCGGCCGATCCAAATACTAGCGAAAGATACAGTGCATTTTTTCGATTTAAAAAAAAAAATTAGTTTAAAAAAGTCACCTCTCCAGCTGCTATAATATTCACACGTATCTGGACTTGGGGATGACATAGGTCACATTCTGTACTACTGGGTGTTGATTGTTTCACAATCAGATGTGCCACTAGTCGTCGAAACAATTTTAGGAGCAAATGTTGATAATCAAGTCCAGATCTAATGATGACTTTTTATAGTTTAAATAAATAAATAATGATTTTTTTGTGTTGAATTCATCTCAATTCACTAGTCAGTTCCAATAATAACGTCTTTTTTTTTTAAATATGACGAAGAAGGAAGAAAATGAAATGTGTCTTTGCGAACAGAACGTTTTAGAAAAGAGAGCGTCCGTCGGGGGCCGCGCGCCGCCACATTGTATCATAATTTTTATAGGCTGATGGCGGACGCGTGGGCGCCCCCGCGGGCCGACCCCTGTATGATAATTATAAGAACTGTATTACTAATGTTTACTACTTTTGTCTCTACTTTCGTGAAAATGCAACAAACAAATAGGTGTAAAATTATTGTGATGTGTTTTTTGAGCAAAAAGAAATATAAATTGCAGAACAGAGAGAGGGATATTGAAAAAGAACACAACGCCTCGGCAGCCAATTAAATTGTCGGTTCTCTATAAAAATTATTTTATATATAATATTATATAAGGAGAGACTATATTAGGAGGTAGTGTGATACAAATAAATGTAATTTGGTAGAGACCCGACAGTTTGCTTGGCACCCGCGGCCGCTTGTATTTGTAATACAGTTTTTTATCGTGAAAAAGAACCTTTTTATAAAAATGATGATGAATAGCCATTTTGATGACAACCGACCAAGAAAAAGAAAAGTTTTTAATTTCAAAATTGAAATTCCGAGCACTACCGCTGATGTACCATCTTGAATGAAAGGAAATTGTTATCACATCACTGAAGTTGAAATTGGATTGAGAATTATATTGAAACATGGTTTGAAACAAGGGGGAACGTGTATGACATTTTGTAGAACTATCCACAGTGTATTGTAAATAGTTATACAATTGATGAAAATGGATGATGAAAGTAGGTTAAAAATAAAGAGCTCGCCAAGCACTTTCCGTCTTTTATTCACCAAAACTACCAGTTAAATAAATTTCCAACAATAAGTATTTATTATTATTTTTTTTATTCTTCATTTTTTTCATTAGTCATGAAGAGAGGAACATTTTTTTTTTAATTCTATGAAAATGATGGATGCAAATTGATTGACATGTTTTAGATTCTTCAGATATTGCAGGTATAATTTTATTACTTGTTTTGATACCTTTTTTTTAGTACTTTTAACTTTTATTTATTTGAAATGAAGAATTGAAAACTTTATGTTATGAATTTAATAGGATTAAAATGAAATGAAATTTAAAAAATATTCCAGATTTTTCATGTAAGTTAGGTATTAATGATGAAATAAAAATCAAAGAGTTAACATTAACTTTCAACTTTTATTTGCTAGTGGACAGATAAATTAAGAATTAAATCTAATGAGGTTCTCAAAGCACAACCTGAGAACCAACTAGGCTGACGTGAACACTTCATTTTGTATCTCTATGGAATACGTTTTATTACAATTATCATTTCATTATTTATACAAGAATAAATTCACAAAATCTTTGGTCAATTAGCTGCTCTTTCTTTACGCTGTCTCAAGAAACTGCTAAAGATGTTCGATAGAAAAATAATAAAGAAAATTTGGTGCTGGAAAAATAAATTACGGTGAACACAAATCTAGGATTTTTAACAGGAAAATTTGAGATCAAATTAAATGATCGAGATAAAAGTCTTTCCTCCTTTTCAAGGACAGTTTTTAAAAGAGTATAAAAAGGTGCATGGAAAGAATGAATAGATGTTGCTGTACATGAGACTGGTGCTTTCATATTCAAAGGGTGGTGAGACTGTAGGTGGTGGTGCCCTGAGGAGGCAGTGGCGCGGCCGAAGGGTGTTGCGTCTCGCGGTGCCTGCGCAGGTCCACCTTTCTCTGGAACGCCTTTTCGCACAGGCCGCACGAGAAGGGCTTGAAGCCGGTGTGTTTTCGCATGTGGGTGATTAGGTTGGACGACTGGCTGAAGGCTTTGCTGCACACGATGCATTTGTGCGGCTTCTCGCCTGAAACAAGAGCAGCAGCTAGGTAAGTCCACCTGAACGACTTTGACACTTGGGCGGCCAATTACTGGCGCACGCATGAAATCAAAATTATTAATTAATTAAGCTCAAATCAGTAAAAACAGTCAATTACAAATTTTAAAATACATTTTTTATTGAAATAAATTTATTTATCGAAATTCGCCCGAATTTTTTTTTAAATATTTTTATAATTCAGTCAAATTTTAACCTAAGGTAGGATGAATTATTGGAATTATTTTTGTTTTTGAAAATTAAAGAATACATAAATTTGGGAAATATCGCGTATTTTTATAACATTCTTCTTTTGATGCGCAATTTTCACCTCCCAGTATTACTTAGCGCGCAACCACTGTCACATAATATGCCTGTATGTATTATTGACTGCATATTGATTTCGGGGTGGGGGCGACGCCTCGTTAATTGCTAATGACATGCACTGTGGCCGGTCGCGACATCAACGTGGGGTCCCTCGTCTGATATGGGGAGCGAAAATTAATTCTTTCAGATGTCACCGCCGGCTGTCACCTTTTCACAACTTCGCGTGTGGCCTCTCCACACACACCACTTGAATGATTGGAAACGATTTCTGTGTCACCGATTGGATGGCTCATCAATACACAATAAATAAATGCCTGTTAAATATTAAAAAAAACCACAGGCCAGGGTTTGAAAAAATTTCATAAAATTTTTTTCCATTGATTTTAAATTAAAATTGTATGCGCAAAGTCAAATTATTTGAGAAGCTGGAAAAATTTTGAAAATGAATTATTTGCCGTTTTTCAAAGAAGTCCTTTTTTAAAAATTGATTTTTTTTTTATCTTCAAAAAATTGAATGTAAAAATTTGACGGATTGGAAAAGCTAACAACAAAAATATAAAAAATAATAAAAATTTTGAATATTTGAATAAAATCCTAAGTAGTTAAGCATTTTAACGGGAGGGAAGTAATTTCGCCACCCCAACATTGCCACCCTGTTGCTATATTTATCAATAATAAAGCTAGACGTGCCAATCCATTATCATCAGCGCTATATGGTCGCACAATGGTTCTCCACTTTTCATTGAGCGCGCGAATGAGGGCTATCAAAATGCTGAGCCAGCACGTCAAAACACATTTCAATCGAAAAGCAACAGTCGCGCGCTTCGATGAAAGGAAATCCCTGAATAATGGAATGATTTCTCCTGTCCGGCCGTTTCCTTCCTTTCGTATATGCAAACTCAAATAACCAAAATGGAGCGCGAGAATTTTAACACACATTTTGTGATTGCACGCATCCAATTAATTATTCAACAGAAGGAAAAGCAATCAAGTTTCTCACCTGTGTGGATGTAAGTGTGTTTCTTCATGTCCGACTTCTGGTGGAAGCGTTTTCCGCAATACTGACAGGGGTAGGGGCGGGTGTCCGAGTGGATCAGCAGATGCGTGGACAGGGTGGACGAACGCTTGAAAGTTTTCCCACACTGTTTGCACTGAAATTGAATTAAAATATAAAATTACGACCAAAATAAAAAATAAAATAAAATGATATTTGGTAGCGAAAAAATGGATCTAGCGAATATTGAAATTTGTTAAAGGAAGGAAACGAAAATTTTTAATTAAAAAAGATTCCTTTTTGTGCTACAGATTGGTAGGAATTTAAATGATTTCCAGACATAAAATTATAAAAAAATATTATACTTTTATATTTTTTTAGAATTGTCTTTTATTTCCTCTTAAAATTCCCATACGGCTCAAATTACTATTTATTTGTTGAACATTCTCAGCTCAATTCTTGTACTCAAGTGTGACATTGTTTTTGTTTTGTTTTAATATTCTCCATCCAATTATTATTCAGATAAAAATAAATTGGAATTGAAGGAATTGAATAATATTTAAAAAAAAGTTTACACACCTGAAAGCATCTCTCGCCATTCTCGCTCCGTCTCGCGATGCGCGGCTGCTGTGCCGCTGGAGGGTGGTGAGGAGGCAGAGGGGTGGTCAGGGGCAGACTCCAGCGGGACGAGGGCAGAAAGGCGGTGCTGTCCGGCTCGGCCGACGGTGACGGCGGCCGCAAAGACGACACGATCACTGCAGGTACGCACTTGTACGCCGACTTGGCGTGATTGTTGTTGTTGGTTTTGGCCGCCTCTTGTTCGCACTGACTGGCCGGCGACCAGATCGGGTAGCTCGAGCGGCCTGGGGAGGTGCGAGGGGGCGCCGAGGCGGCCAAACGGGCCAGCGCGGGTTTCAGGCAGAGGTCGAGTGGAGCGTCTTCTGCAACAAAATAACATGGAGATTTGAACGCTTGAATCCAAAAGAATAACCAAAATATTTTTTAATATGGTAATGGTAAAGTATGATGTAATGAAAAGTACTGAAAAGTATAACCTAAAAACTAAAAACATTAACATATACAAATGTTATTTGCTTGTAAAATTTGATTAATGCCAATATAACTGACATATTGATAGAAAATAAGTGCTTGAATTTAATAGAAAATATGATAATTATTAGACAACAATATATTGTAATTTCTTAAGTGAATTAGATAAAACAATTGCCTGTAAAAACAGTATATTCATGTTGATTTGCATGTCTAATGACGTTTTATATAATTTTTACTCTGTATATGCTGTATATTATGTCTAATGTCACTACGGTTTGTATTAAATTTATAATGAATAAAAAAATTAAATTGAAAAATGAAAAAATGTTAAAATTGATTTTTAAATAAATATTTTTTATAATCAGTCAAAAATTGTATTAAAATTAAGTTATGCTATTAATATAAGATTTTTATTAATATATATTTTTATTTGACTTAGTAACATTTTTTACCTGCATCAGTTGCTCTTTCAGGACTGGTTGGGGTGTGGACGGTATCGATTGGTGGACAAGGCATGCACAGTCTGGACGGCGGTGGCCAAATGAAGACTTGCGGTGGTGGAGTTTCTGGCAAAATTCGCGTTTGCCTGCATTCTGGCGTGCAAAAAAAATTGTTAATAAATTTCGAAAACAAAATATGAAAAAAAATTTACTGACCTAATTCTATGTATCTGCGTTTGTTGACTGGCGAAAAAGCACTCGGCGAGTGCCGTCTGATGACGCTGGTGGGACTCGGAGTGAGTGGCGGAGACATTTCTCTCGACGGGTAGCTCGTTTTGACTAAAAATGATCGCGGCATCTGTAACAGCGAGAAAAAAACATTGCACTCAAATTTATTCAAATTTATGCAGGATTAAAAAACGAAAATCAGTTTCAATGTTGCAATTAATTTCGCACAGACGTCAAACGACGAGATTAATGGGGGATTGTAAATTGGCAAAGAGGGTAATGTTTTCGGTGCATAAATTAATGCAGGCCCGCATGATGCCAAAATTTGCATAAACCCCAATCGCACGACTCATAGAACTACACCGAATGTCAATAAATATAAATTCGAACGGGCTGTGAAAAATAATAATATATATACTGATTGTGAAATCACGTGCGCGAAATTTGGCTGAAACGAATTCGGTAAAAGAGACACACACATTGTTCGTGTCCAGCGGTTAATATGGAATCACGTGTTCTCCATTTGGGGCGCAATGTGACACTAACAGTTGCACAAGACAGCAACAATATGTTCCGGCGGAATTCATCAAATATTAACGCGCTATTGCGTGATGAATGTGGTGCGGGGTGAAAGGGAACAAAAATCAAACCAGCAACAGGCTCACGCGAAAGTCAATAGAAATAATAAGCACATAGAGCGGAAAGGGGTCCTCTCGACGGAATATTTAATGAAATAGCACTTGGTCTGAGTGACATCGCGCGCCAAATTATTCACGGCGCCAATCGTTGAAAAAGTAATCCTGCTAAGTAATTCTCCCTTTGACAAAGTTAACGAGCCGAAGAGAGCCCAAACACAATATAAAAGCTGAAAATCCATCACCGGCGAGGACCTACAAGTAATTATCAGATTGCTTATTAAAAATTCATGACCTGCCTGAAAGTGTGCATGTTTTGGAAAGTCTATAAATGCATGTCCCTTGGCTTATGTTTTATGCAGCACTAGACCGCGGGAAAAATCACAGTTGTTATCTCTCAATGAGTTGAGATATTTGTGTTCTATTTTATAAAAATAGCGACTTAAGCAAATTTTAGTTTCAAATATAGAAAATTCAAATTAAACTGGTTTTAAAAGGGAGTGATTTGTTTTTACTTTACCGTCTCTGGTGCGGTCATTCCAAGAAACGCTTTTGATTCATGTATATATTTCTTGTGGAACGGTGAAAAAGGGGGCTATACCAAACTTATCGCAAAGTTTTATTGCGTTTTTATTGTCACCAGACTTTTACTGTCGTGAGACAGTTTCCGCCATGGTAAATAAAATACATGAGACACTTCATAAATCAGAGTTGCAGTTTTATAAAATTCAAAATAACGAGGCATTAAGGAAAAGGAAAATATTAAAATGTACCCGAACATGAATTTTTTTTTCCAAAATAATAATTAATATTTTGAGATTGAATTAGTGCTAAATAAAAAATAATATTTTAAATAATTTCTTAACAAAAATCTGTTGATAATTTTATTATTTTCAAATTGGATTTTTAGGAGTTAAAAATATTGGTTTGATCAGCGATTTTACATGATTTGACGGTTATAAGAAAGTTGCTAATACAGAAAATTAGCAAAGCATTCTTTCTCTGAAAACGGTTCCTGTCACTTTTCAGATAAGCTAGCTGCGTAAGTTTCGAATTCAAGAAGTTAAAAAATAATTGACTTTTATTGCAAATTTTGTTTGTGAAATTTTGTTTGTAAAATTCTCATCTTTTCTCTCAATTGCATAGAATTTGTATAATTTTTGAATGTAGAAATTTAATGATGTATCCCGTTATGGGCAACAAATTGCCTTTGTGATAGATAAATAAACACATTTTGCAACTATTATTAAATAAAAAAACTTCAGACTAAATGTTTTAGTGGTGAGGCCAAAATTTTATATGCATTATTGCTTATTGTATAAATATTCTCTTTTTATTTGCCACAGCGCAATCAATCATTTTTTTTATATAATATATTATTCAGGGAAAGTGGTCTCTCATCTAACCCAACAATATAATATTAATTAAAAATCAGGATGGGTTATTTTCCTGTGCCAATGAGAGCTTAATCTATCGCGAAAACACCCATACATTTTATATTCCCAGACAAACAGATATTGATTAGATTATATAATAACTTTAAAAAAGTCTGGAATCCATTAAGAAACTGATTTTTACATCAATTATATACATTATTTTTCATATTATTTAATTTTCATGGCATATTTGCGTGTTCTTATCCTTCTATATCTAGCTATTCACATCTTTGAGTCAATAATTTAGTTTTTCGTCATAAATAATTCATTATCGCAGCGAACGAAGCGAAAAATTACACTCTCCTCATCTTGGCACAAATTTATTATTATAGACCTGCACGCGGTTCTGAGAGGGCACCTGATTTAAAAACCACACCTTTGCTCAATCTGGGGAGAAACAAAATTATGTCCTGCGGGCAGTTGTATTTTTTTTCTCATTGTGCTGTTTGGATTGCTGGAAGATGTTTTGGAGAGATAGCGGGCTCGTGCGCGGGGTATGTTAGGGATTTTCTTGTGCACCAGCTGAAGGCCCAGCCGCAGCAGACAGGCTGCTTGGATTTGAGAGGCCTGCAGGTCGTATGGTGTGTGTAGGTAAATCAGGTTAAAGACAGCTGCTCTTTAAAAAGACAGAAGGTGCTCCAGACGTGTGGAAGAAAAGAGCGGGCAGGTGAAATAGGAAAGTAGCGAGTAAAATTGGCGCTTGTACAAAAGCGACGCGCGCGTGCATTTTTCCTCCGATCCAGCCTTTCTTCCTATTGTTGTGGAGGACAAAAATCCACGGGATAAAGAAACGTTCATCCTGCTACTTTTTCACTCGATCGCATCTTTTGTGACGGAAACCAAAGAAAGGGTTGAATTTTTAAAAAATTTCTAAAATATTTACTTATCTTGCAGTGTGCAATTTAATTTCATCTATATTTTTGTAGAAATAATCTAATATAAAATTTGTATATTTGAGTTCTATATACTAACTTCTTTGCATAGAATACAATAATTTCAAACAAAATAATTTGTAATAGTTATTAATTGTTACATTTTTTAAAATAAATTTTATATTCATTTAAGCCTCAAAAGGCCAAAGCCATATTAATTAATTTTGTTGTTGCGTTAAATCCCATTTCATATTGAAAAGAACCTTTCAGCCTCAGGATTTTATTGAATTTGATAAATAAAAATTAATCGGTTAGTTTAAAATTATTAAGCTTGTATAACGCCAAACGTATTCTTATGATAGAAGCATGATTATGTATGAATTTTTACAATGAAATTCAGACAAACGTTGAAGAATTTATATTATTATTATTTATTATTATTATTTATTCTTCTCGGTCTGTACAAAAATTTTTAAATTGGAGAAAAAAAGAGAAGAAAGGGTTTACAACTAGCAGATGTCTGCTAAAACGCCCGACATCAAAAGAGACACGGCCGCCGCGGTAAACCCACACTATCGAAAAAAAAAGAATAATTTGAAATTTAATTTCTATTAAAATAAATTATTCCAAATTATATCGCTCAGAAAAGAATTGATTAAAAAAAATATTATTTACATGACAAATCTAGTTTCAAATGATATAATTATACAAAAAATATAATTTATTCTATAAAAGTCATTAAAATTAGAATAAACTATAAAAAATTTAAACAAAAATATAAAAATTTAAAACGTATGCAATTTTTATATATTAGAAACAAACATCAATTTGAATATTTATTTGAAAACAGCAATTGAAATGTAAAAAGAGAACTTACCTCTAAGCAAGCAAGAGGTGAAGGAGCGTTTCCATGCCTCATTCAAAAGCGCTGGAGATCTAAGTTGGACCTGAAGGCGCGCGCGAGCGAGGATCGTCGCTGCTGCTATCAAAGGCTGCCACTTGGGCCGAGTTCTGCAGAGTAACTGACAAGAGACGAGAGGTCAGGCCGTGGGGTCGACGCCGGGGTGAGAAGGAGGAGCCAGGCCAGGGGTGGCAGGGCCAGGGGCGGCGCGCACTCATTGGCTCCTACCTGGACAGAAGCCAGGTGAATCGCTCTGCCGGTGGCGGGGATATTGTTTTTCACCTACCTACCTCACACGCGGCCAAAAAGCTTCGCTCGCCCCGCAAGAGTGTATCAAGTTCCGTCGCATGCCCCTGCCCGGTAGGCAGCACGCACCGCAGCTTTCAATCACCTCGAAATGTGAATAATGAGGCGAAAACTGTGTGTAACGTAATCTGGAAATTTAAATATTTTTTGTTTGAAATTGAAGCAAGAAAATAAGCAGCCCCAATATTTTAGAACATTTAGAACTGCGCAACAAATTTAAAATATAGGCAACGTTCTATAAAAATATAGCTTATTAATAAATGACTTTTAAAAAACTTTGATTGGGTTTAAGTTAAATTACTCTCATTGTTTTCATTGACAAAATCTTTTACAGCCAAAAACTTTTGATTAAATTTTACAACTAAGTTGTAGAATTCCATATTTATTTAGTCTTAGTGTCGACGGATCATGGAATTTTACTGACACAAAAACAAAATGTTAGGATTGACCAAATCCGACACTTGTGATAGAAAATGTCATATAAAGAACAGACTCAAGTTAACCGATGTGATTTTTAAAATCAATCATGTACAAAATTAAAATCTCTTTAATAAATCGTTTGGAATTTTGTTATGATCCTCAAAAATTCTTCATTAAAAATTTTAATAATTAAATTTTTTAAATAAAAGGTAATATTGTTACTCTATTGTGTTGAAAAAAATTCCACTTGGCCAGAAAATTTAATTGTTTATTTCACACCAATTGATTAGCAAACTTATAAACCAAATTAGAACCGCGACTAACTCAATAAAAATTTTGCTGAAAAAATAAAATTTTACGGATTTTTGTACTAATAATTGTATATTTTTAAGAATAGAACCTTGACTAACTTAATATTTACAAAAGATTACAAATTTCAGTTAGGATAATCATGGTAATATTTATCTAAAAATCGAATAAGTTCTCGAAATTTTTATACTTAATAAAAACATCTTTTTTTATACCATAGGAAAATATTTAACCATTACCAAAGAATTCATCTTCTTCTAAATCTCAAATGAACAAAAAAATCACCCTTTCGACTCGCTCATCTTTTTAAAGGGTAGAAATCAGAGAAAATTACAGAGAGGCAGACAAACGAGCAGCACATGCCGCGCGACGATCACTCGTCGGTCATTAAAGTTGCTTCTTCTCTTTTTTTCTCTCTGGTTCAACTCATTTGATCCTCTGCGGGCAACTGCAGGTAGTGTATTATTTTGGGCGGGCGAGCGAAATCTTGGAGAGGCATGTGGTTGAGATTTTGTTTAAAGAGCAAGGAACTGGTCCCTGACGCAGCAGCCGCCGCATCACCTGTTGTGCGGCCGCCGAGGCAGGTGCTCCTCGCTCGGAGGCTGCGAAAGGTACCTACCCAGGTATGCACCTCACCTTTGGTTGCCGCGGCGCGGCGTGTGCCGAGAGTGACGCGTGCACGGACGCGTGCTCCCTCCTCCCTCCGCTCGCTAATCCAGCCGCGTAATTTCACATTCATTTATGCGCCGCCGATGGCCAACAGCCCGTGACTAAAGGTTAATTTCCCTGCCTTTGTCCACACCAGCCGCTTCTTCCGTTTGGCCGAAAATCGAGTGCTTTTGTCATTGCCTTGTTCCTGATTGTCACTGTCTAGAACAATTAAGAACTAATGTTAATGCACTAATTTATTACAATTATATTTTTTCCTCTCTATAAAAAGTGAGCTTTTAGATTCCATGATTAGGTTTGCAATGTGATCAAAAGAAATATTCAAGCAACAGCGTTAATATTAAGTAAAAAACTGTTGATATGATGAGCCCACAAATATTATAATATTTTTTTTTATTGTTTATCCCTTCGTCGCAGAAATTGTTTTCTTCATTCAAAAACAAATGGCTCTACCAGTTCCGGTCACGGTCTGTGACTCTATTTCATGAGTGATAACATTTTTTTTGGATGAGTTCATGTATGGGGCATAGTTGCTCTACTTTCGAACCCATGAATAATCATTTTCTAGAAACTAAAGTAGCGTAGCGTAGAGTAACGTAGCGTCACGTAACATAGAGATATATAAATCTTGTAAAATTCATATATATATTATGTTATAATTAATGTTTACTCCTTCATTATTAATAAAATATCTCGTGTAATAAATGTATTATTTATGTTCTGAATTTCATAAAATAATACTACGCTGTAATTTTCAATTATTTAGTGATTTCCTTGATGATCATTGTTGCGAGCCATTTTTCACTTCCAACCCTTGAATCATAACTGTAAACTCCACCCCAACTGATGACACTGTGAAGAAAAAATGTACAGATGCGGGCAGAGAAAAATATTTGTGGCTCGAGCCCCTTCTACGTATAATAACAGAGGCTGTCTGTATATTATGTAGAGAGAGAAATTTGCAAGGGTTGATGTGCAGTTATTCACCGCCTGACGCCACTCGCAGGTAAAGGTGCAAGGATGCGCGCCATATGGTGGGCGGACGCCTCGCAGCAATTTCAACGGCGCGGGCACAAAAGAAGCCACCGCACGAGCCGAAACTAAATTTACTTCCCTCCCAGCAGCAGAGCATGAAAGAGCGAAAGTGAGCCAAAAGCACCCCTGTTGCCCCCGCAATCGTCTGCTGATAAATCATTCTCTGCCTTTTCCGGTTTTAACCGTATATATAAAATATAAAACAAAACCTATGAAAAAGAGAGAGGGAGTCTATCAAACATTGTTTTCAAAATATACGCTGCTGGCCCTTTCAAGTTTTGCTTGCAGCTGCTGATTTTTTCCAACAAAACTTTGGATTTTTTCACGCAATACCTTGCTTTGTGTGTGTAAGCACGGCTGATTAAAATTATTTTAATTAAACTCGACCCTCCTTTTTTATGGTTAAAAATTAAAAAAAAAAATTGATTTATAAATATATGCTTTTTTATTTGGCAGAGATACTTTTGAATTTCAATGGTAATTTTTTTTAGATCTTTCATTCAATTTTTTTCTTTTTAAATTCTGAATTTTTCAATGATGTTTTCTTAATGTTTGCAATTCTTTTTGGTTTCTCGGGATTCTTATAATTTTTTTTTTTTTTATATTTGCTATTTTTACAGCTTTGTTATTATTAAATTAAAAATCATCATTTTTAATTACATTTTTTAAAAAAAAATTTTGTTACTTATTTTTTCATAAAGGGATTACATTAATTTATTTTCTTACTAAACTTTTCGATTTCCATCACGTACATCACTCAGCTGGAGAGCAAAATCCAAAGGGCAGGTGGACCGGCCCGCATTGACGAAATAGCCAAGGTGTGTTTTTCGATTGCTCTTTCGCTCCAGCTTGAATTTGCTGACTGACGAACTGAGGTCATGTTAGCGAATCGGAGCAAAAAGTGCCAAGGATTTCAAGCAGCCAGCAGCAGAACGTATTCTTGCTCTCCCGTCGAACCAATAAGTCGGTTTGCTTACTCGATTCGATGGGCGAATGAGATAACAATGCCTGCATTTCCTTTCAGGAGGATGTGGCACGACGGAAAATTATTTATTTATTTATAAGTGGTGGAGGAGGTAAAAAGGCACATGTGCTTGATTTCCCGAGGCTTATCGCGCGGATTTTATCAAACAAATCGCATTGGCAGCAGTGACAGGATTGCTTCAATTTGCTTTGTGCTGGTTTGAAATGACAGGAAACGATTCAAAAGCCGGTACTGAAAACTATGTTGATTATGTAGAAGTAATTACAGAGGTGAAAGGTGGAAAATGTGATCTTCATCGAACCCATGCAAGCAAAACCACCGCAAATCTATTTTTATAGTATTGCATTTTATTTATATTGTTAATTTATTTAAAAAATATTGTATTGTGAATTGTGAAGTTGGCCCTTCAGGAGATGTTTGTAGATATGAAGATAAACAGGTTTTGTATGCTAGTAGAATTATTTTGCACAAATTCAAAACTCTTTTTAATGAAAAACAATATTTTCATGCAAAGCATGTTTTCTTCACTTCTAATCTCTATTGTTGGTTTCTAAACATATTCAGAAAAATTAGTCTGGTACAATTAACTCCTGGATTTAGTTTGAAAATCCAAAAAGAGACACATATGAACACCACTTCCTCTCTCTCTCTGTATATATTTCCCGTCCATTTGTTCCGTCGGTCAGACAAAATCATGCATGACCGTTATCAAGGTGGTAATTTCATTACGATGTCACCTCAGCAGGACGTGTCAGCTCCGTGCTAAAAGCCGAGAGCGCACCTGATGAAAAATGAACTTTGCGGCTATAAAAAATTTTCAACAGAGACTAAACATTATAAACGCACGGTTTAATCCAAAACTCACGGGCCGCAGCTGCACACGCGGGAGTGCACCAAATCGCGCACACTTGCAACTGCGTTGACCCTCTTTTGTTCCCCGAAAAGCTTTTGTTGACTTCCGCTGCCACGGGAGTAATTTGACTTGCTGATGACGTGATGAGCAACTGGATCATCAAACCGTGGAAAACGTCCAGGTGCGAATTCCTAAGTCAAACACCAATATTTCGAACAGACAAAAAATAAAACAATTAAAATAACCACTTTTTGAATTTTCATACGAGATTTAAGTAAAATTTCAATGAGTACAAGCGCATATATACTGCTTTACAATATTATATAATTATTATATAATATTATATAATATTGTAAAGTAGTATAATATGTAATTATACAAAATATATAATTTTACTATTTAATTATTATTTTTTAGTCTTACTGTGTTTTTGCGGTTTTGCACTTAATTAATAGAAATAATCTAAATTTATTACTTTATAATTTAAAAAAAATCTTTTAAATTAATATTTTTAAAGATTTTTACAAATTG